CGTGGGAACTCCCCTAATGGCTGTTTTATGTATAACAAAAGGTGGTTTTTTATTTCATACAAGTTAGTACTTCAGCAAGAATATCAACAAGGATAATAAAAGGTAGGTACAGAAAACTAGATTGTTCTAAGAAAAATTTTAAATACTAATAAGTATTCAGTAATACCTACCCCAAAAGTCAACTTGTTCAATGTGTTTCTATATTGCTTCTTGATAGACCTCCTCACTTGCAAAGGTCACTCTTAGGTGAGCATCATCGATTGGCTGTGTGATTTATCCTCTCACTATAGGAGTGGGATCCCATTCCTTTACAGGTAGGCTAGTTAGATAATAGTCATCGTTTTTGCTATATTTAAAATAGGCAGCTTGTCTTCTGTGTGCATACTACATTGGTTTTTTAAAAAGCTCTTAATGCTTCTCCTGAACTGAGAGCATGCATCCATTGCCACTGATCCCATCCTGGAAGGGCATACAGTGGGGTAGAGCCCCCACCAGTCAAGTTTCTAGAAGATGGGTCAGGCTCCTGGGAGCGGGGTGGGGGTGGGGGGGACGACACCTTTAAACTTTACTGACCAGTGACCCTCATACAGTGAAGTTTCCAGGTAACTTCTATTTATTCTGGGTCAGTTTCCTTTTCAGAAATCGGGAAGGCTTGGATGGGCTTAGGTGGAATTTTTCTTCAACCTTTTTTGATCTGGTGTGGGGAGCAGCAAGCAGGAAGAGTGTATCCAGATGAATCCTTTATTCTCATATGAAGAAGGCTGGCTGGCTGAGTTTCTGGGGTGGAGGGAGGCTTTTGCCCTTGTAAGTTGGAGAGGAGTCCCACTCACATTCTCATAATTAATCTTGTTCCCTACTATGTCTTTCCATAATAGTGCTACGTTAAAGTTACCTCTTACAAGCACATGGCTAATTGTTATCTTCCCTGTTGCTTTAACTATAGCAGCAGACATCTCCCATTGATCTTTAGGCACTGAGGACAGCCTCTCCCCCTTACCTCCATCCCCAGGCACTGGTTCGATTACTCCTCCAATGTAGTCAGGGAACTTTAGGCTTATGATACAAGGGGGCTTGAGTGCCCCCTCCCTCGAGTATGTAAACCTTGGTTGGAAATATATTCTCTCTCTGCACAGACCCGGCTCCTGCAGTCGTGCGGGTCCCAGAAGTAAGCACTTGTATGCTTTATCTTGTCTGATGACTGTTTAATTTTACCTCTCAATTACACATCCACCTCTTACATGCATTTGATTTTGAGGGCTGGTATCCCACAATGTAGGCGTTGTGCTATAAGGATTATGTCCTTGTGAGGCATGCAGTGTTTCATAGTTCCCATCAGAAGTCTACTTGGAAACCCCTCTGAGTGAAATAGAATTTACCTTAAACACACCTACTGAGGATGACAGGAACTGACGTACTTCTTGGAACTTCAAACATAAGCACCTAGTGTGAGAACAAGCAGAGGACTGAAATTCCAAGTTCGTGACCTTGGAAGTCATTGGATTTGGGTTCAAATTTCTTGCTTGAGATTGTCTAGTTGCCAATTTGAGACTACCACTTGTTACGGTCATCTTTTCTTTCATTTTTGTTACATATCCTAGTTTTGCAGACAGGTAGTGTTGCCTTAGTGAACAAGTGTTTTACAGAGACCTCGGGGTAACCTAACTGCTACATCATACACAAAAGGTACCGGAAGTCATCCTGACTCATCCTCTTGCGCTCCTCCTAAGGGCCACAGAGGTGACCTCCCAGAGGCCTGAGAGAGACAAGGGCGGCTCTGCAACCAGTCCACCCCGGGTCACAGGACCATGGACAGGGGTTCGGGCCTGA